TTTTTTTTTTGGTTTTTCTCCGGCACCGGGAACCGAACTCACGACCTTGCGCTTGCCAGGCAGGCGCTTTTGCCGCTGAGCTAAATCCCCAGCCCCACTTGTGCTTCTTTTGATTTGCCCCTCAGCTCTCTCTGACCGAGGCTCTGCAGCCAGTGCTAGTGGGGTCCCTGCGTGGCTTGTCTTGCGTGGAGTGCAAGGCTGGAGTGAATGCCTGGGGCAGGAAAACAAGGTGTGGTGCGGGTGGGCTGTTGGGGAGCCCCGAACAGCTTCCTGAATTATTACTTCATTCCAGCGGAAGGCAAGACGGTGAGTGAGGGGGAAGCCTTCAGACTCCCCACACGGGCTGAGGGAACCGAAACAAACACGGGGGAAACAGGCCAACACTGAAACGTGCTTACAGGATGGAAATGTGCTGACAGATTTTTGTCTAGTGAGCAGGTTTCATTTTTGATGGCTGAATTGCTCCCTCCTCCCTCCCCACACCTTCGTGGTTCTCGGGGGGGGGACAGTTCCCCTATTCTTTGTGAGTTACGTAGGCCACAGATTTTAAAGGAGTGAGGCTGCCTTCTCTTTATTGCTTCCTTCTGAAGAAACGTTGCCCAAGAGCAAGGGCCCAAGAATCCAGTACATGGGAAAGAGCAATTCACTACGTGGGAAGGAGCACGGTGTGGTGAGGAGCTGAAGAGTCAGAACTTCCCGCTGTCCAGGCGGCTTAGCTCTGGCCAGCGGCGTGGGCCTCCTGGACCAGTAGCCTTTCCTTGCTTCCTCTCCAGCGGAGACACAGGCTACCCTTTTAACAGTCTCTCCTTTGAGGGATTATTTTTGTCACCTCTTACCAGATTTTCATGTTTCCATTCATCTTTTCACTTTTTCTTGGCTCAAGGCCACTCTTCAGATGCCCATGGCTTTTTTCAAATGTATCCAAACCATCACTCAGTAGGAGGTTTCTTGCCCACCCCCGCCACCGTCACAGGGCCAGTGGAAGCCACGCACTTAGCATGCCGTTCTGTTGCTCGATGGCAAGATAACAGACTCGTATGTTTCCAGTACCTTTTGCTGAGTTGATACTAAGTATTTTAATGAACATGAGATGATCACTCAGACACATGTTCTGTCCTTGCCATTACATAACGAGGCAGAATATTGGTTAGCAGTGAGTATACATATGTTTATGTGCACACACACACACACACACACACACACACACACACACACAGAATTTCTCCACAGAGGGAGAATATTACCCCAAAGGGTAGATAGATCAGTCTGTGTTTAAAGTACAGTTGTCCAAGAAAGCTGCCAATTTCATTCTCTTTTTACATTTTCCTGTGGTTTTCAGGAAGGTATTGGAAGAACTAACTTGTCATGATGGCATGGGCTTATTGGATGATAATTGTTCAATAATGCTAGCACACTGCAGTAGATTGTTCTGGGCTCTGTTTAATAATAAGCTGCAATCTAGACGTGAAGCTGTAGAGGGTGCTCTTGTCTTAATAATAGCATAGCCATCCTCCCTAGGAAAAGGAGCCAGGTGGTGGTGGTGGTGGGGATGGGGGGTACCCTTTTATTACCATGCATTTCGTAGGGAAGGAAATCAGGTGCCTTTTAGAAGCGATGATAAATCCATAGTGTTGCCCGTTACCTTTTATAATATGTTCTCCTGAAGAATAAATTCATCTACTGTGTAGCCTCTCATTATAGTTGTGTTGAGTGGGGAAGCCCTCGTGTCTTAATATATGCTTTATGTCAGTCCTGCTTCCAGATACCGATGCTTTCTGTGCTGGGAGCTGGGAGTAACTTTTCAAAAATGGGCAGCAGAGCAAGGCATCTTTGCAGAAGGCCCTCAGTGGTTTGTAATTTCATTTAAAATGAGGTTCTCACTTCCCACTGTGCCTTCTAAGGCCTGTGGGAGACGGCCTGCCCCTCCCCTTCAGACTGTCTCTCCTCTCTCTCTCATTTCCTTCCCCACTGATAGGACGTCCTGGGGACAGTACACCCATCTTTCCCAGTGTGTACTCTTCTGTCTGCTCGGCGACATCCCCATGTGTCTTCCTGTGGCTGGCTCCTTGTTTCTCAGTCCTCAGCCTCATAGGAGCTCTGCAGAGAGGAGTTTTTGTCTACCATGTCTCAAACAGGCCCCTTCCACCACCAGATATTTTAAAACTTAGAACTTTAAATTGTGGCATAATTCATAGAGCAAGATTTCATACGAGATGGAATTCACCATTTACGTCTCCAACCCAGCAATCGTTAGTGTATTCACAGCACTGTACAGCGGTGACCATGACCGAACTTCAGAATGCTTCCATCATCCCTGAAAGGAAGCAAATACCTATGCGAGGTGGCTCCCTGCCCCCAGCACCCACGGATCTGCTTCTTGCCTTCGTGACTCACCTCCACCCCTTCTGCACATTTCCCTCCTGCCTCTTTTTAATTCTTCGTTTGGTTTCAGTCCTGGCATGGATGAATCGACACATTCACTTGTTTATTGCTTATTCTTCTACTCATGAATAACTTGTGGCGTTTCCTCAGCTTTCAGTCTGCCTGAATGGTAGTGAGCCTCGCTTGAATGGCAGGAGCTGGTCAGGATGGGAGGTGACGTTTTTGAGGCTACGGCAGAATGGCTGTTCGTCCTTCTAATTCAAGACATCTCTGAAACACCTTCCCATTCAGTCTACATATTTCCAGGCCCAGCTCCTTGGATCTCATGTCTTCCCTGAATGTGTTCTGTTGTCCACTTGCAACCCGCATAACTGATGGAATCACGTCCTACAGAGCACTGCGTGGGATCTAAAGGTCTCTTTAAGGTTGGGACGATGCTGCAGGAATCAATAAAAGCTGCACTCACCTGACTAGACCGTGTGCAGCCCTGAGGAATGTGCTTCTCTTGTGCTGTGTCTGTGACAGCTCTTTGAGATGGGTATTCATTCCATCCCATTTAAAGATGAGCTAACTGAGGGTCAGGTATGTTGCACACAGCTAGTTTCTAGCAGAGTGGGGACTGGAGGCCTGGCAGGCAAGATGCCCTCCCATCTAAGGCCCAGGAACTAAGCTACCCTGCTCTCTTTGCAGCCCCTCAGACTTTAAGTGATGCATGGTTAATTCAGCCTGCAGCAGCTGAATTAATATTAGTGGTCCCGAGAAGACAGCCCATGATGGCATCATAAACAAAGTCTTGCCTCAGAGTTCTCAGCACGTCAGCTGCTCTGGTTGGGACGAGCATCTCCCAAGGGTTCATGTGTTAAATGTGTGCTTTTGTTAGATGGGATTCACTTCCTATCAGGAGGGGATTCGCTTCACTTTGGGGAGCGACCCACAAGTATATTCTCGGGAGCCAAGGGCCTGTGTCAGTGTTTGTGCATCGGTGGGAGGAAGAATCCTCGTCACTTCCAGAGCAGGTGGCCCTCAGAAGAGGCTGAGGTCCCACAGGAGGATGAGCCTGGAAAGCCACCTGTGAACACACTGGCATGTGCTCCTCCAGAGAAACAGAAACAGCATGTGCAGAAGGAGATTCATTTTAAGCAGTTGGCTCCCCTGATAATGGATGCTGGCGAAACCAGAACAAGCGGGTAGACCTGAAAGCTAGAGACGCAGGGCAAAGCCAGTGCTGCAGTTCAGGTGTAAAGACCTCCGTCTGCAGAATTCCCTCTTGCTCAGGAGAGGCCAGTTCACTAACAGTCCAGAGGGCAAATGGCTTTACTCAAACCCCACCAATTTAAAGGCTAATGTCAATCAAAAACACCCTCACAGGGACATCCAGAGTATGTCTGATCACATATCTCGGATCTGCAGCCAAGCCAAAGAGACCATAAAATTAGCTGTCAAAGAGGGGAGCTCAGTGCTTGGGTCCAACTTGCCCAGCATCTGGGCCAGAATGCGAGGAGGGGGAGGATACCGCCCCTCCACAGGCTGTGGAAGCCAGCTCCCACCTATGGGAAGGTGCTCCCTGGCAGCCCTGAAAGTGGTCCTGGCGGGGAAGCATGGATCTCAGCCAGCTTGAGCTTTTCCTGGAGAACACACTTGCCAGGCACACACTTGCTACACTTGGCATGGCGGGTGTGTGAGCAGTCGATTCCTGCATATTCTAGCTGAGTGAGATGTAGGGGCCTCATTCACCCAAAGAGGAGCCTACTTCAGCCATCTTGGTTGCATTTATTCACTCACTCACTCATTCATTCATTCCACACTTGCTGGGTGTTTATTGGGTGCCAATCCTTAAGTACTAGGTATATAGCAGTGAGCAAAAAGCCAGAGATCTCCGGTTTAGGGAAGTTTAGTCTGGGAAACGGGAGACAGTCATCTAAAGAAGATAAAGAAGCAGAACGGAGATTGCAGGCCAGATGATGGTGAGTGTGGTGGAGCAAAACGGAGGCAAGAATGGGAATGGAGGACGCCTGATCGTGAAGTAAGGTGGTCAGGGAATCCTTCTTTATAAAGGAGACTTTTGAAGTCAGGAGCAAGTGTGAAGATGGCAGGGAGAAGAGAAGTCCAGGCAGAGCAGCAAGCGCAGAGAAGCCCTGAGTGTGTCTGGTCACTGTGCGGCCTAGAGAGGCTGGAGGACTTGGGATGGACATGGAGAAAGAATGCAGTGAGGTGCAGTAGAAAAGGGATGGGCTAGAGGGACCAGGACCACGTCCAGTGGCCCGGATGTTCCCTGGAAAGAGCTGGAGCATGACCCACTCTGGGCTCCCTGCTGGGAACAGACAGTGCAGTGTGTGGGAGAGGATGAGACAGAAGCAGGGAGACTCTTTCCAGAACGGAGGAGAGGAAGGAGGGAGCCCTGGACCATGAAGGTGAGAAGTGGGGTTCGGGAGTACAAACTGGGGAGGTGAGTACAGGTTGTGGGGGGGCCACTGGGGAACACCAGCCACCTTCCCATCCAGGCTTGTCCTACACAATCTCAAATCAAAGTAGCTAATAGATGGTCCTTGGATTTTTAGGACTCTTGCTCTCCTCAACAAATGATTGTGAGGACCGCTGCCCTGAGGGCTGTATAGCCAGCTGGGTCTTCATGGAAGAGAAACCTTTCCAGGGAGCTGGGCAGCTTCCAGGGCCACCAGTCCTGTCCTGGCACCATGCTGTAGATGTCATGACCTAATGGCGGCTCACAGGAAGTGACCTCATCAGTGTGCCTTTCAAGCCACACAGGATGGGTCGGAGCCTGACACTGGGCCGGTCGCTCTGGTTTACACCAAATCCAACCACTCGTGGCCTGCAGATCCTCAGTATAAATAGCTGGAAAAGCCTGACCTTGACAACCTCATTCTTCATTCCTTTCTTGTTACAGGTAATAGAGCTGAAAATGTGGTTTTAATTATAGCACTAATGAAAACTGAAAATCCAGACAGACACTTGACGAACTCTGCTGCGCTTTATATTACATTTGTGCTAACTACAAAGTGCCCAGCTGGGTGTAACATTATCCCCCTTCCTCGGGCATCCGCCTGACTGAAGCTGTATAATTGATGTGGACTTTGGCAGGAGGTCAGCTTAAAGGCTTTTTTTTTTTTTGCATTTTAAAGATTTTTTAAAACATCTTTAATGGTATTTTGGGGAAAGGAATACGTTTATTACCTGAGCCAGGGGAACATTTTTCTGGGTTGCCTTACACTCCCTGCCCCCACCCCAAGCTTCCAGAATATTCCAAACATCACCTTCAGGAGAAACTCCAGGGCCAGCAGTGAATTTAGGGACTGAGCTTCTCTGGACCACGTAGCTTTATCATTGGCCAGTGACACTGCCCAGGCAAGGTAGCTCCTTACCACACAGTCCTTAATGCTATTTTTTCCTGTCAGAAGAATGTGCCCATAGTCTGATAGGGCAAAGGATGGTCCTGTGATATGGCGGCCACACCCATGTTGTCCTCACCTGCTTGCCCCCATCTGCTCTGTCATGGGAGTACCTTGGATTTAGAATTGCCAAATATAATTGACTCCTGGTTAAAACTGAATTTTAGATAAACAATAGCAAATACTTAAATGCTTTTAATCATAATCATCTTCTGGATTGAAGGAGCACTGGTTCCAAGACCACTGTAAATACCAAAATCCTTGGATGCTCAGGTCTCTTCATATATAATGGCATAAAGTCTGAATACAACCTATGCACATTCTCCTGTATATTTTAAACCATCTCTAGATAACTAATAAAATGTAAATGCTATGTAAATAGTTGTTCTGCTTTATTATTTAAGGAATAGTGATAAAATTATGTTCAGTA